CTTGGGTTGTTACCAACATCTGGTGAAAATTTCATGTCATTAGCACCTCTAGTAATATATTTACTGAGAAAAATGGTGACGTGTTCAATGCTGATTTTACCCGCTGTATGTGGTACAAACTGAGGTGAACTTAAAGCACACTTTAGCTGATTTCCCAGCGGTTGAGTTGCAGATAAAAGAAGAAAATTGATGTTTTGTTTTTGTGTGTGTGTGTGTGTGTGTGTGTGTGTGTGTGCGTGCGTGCAGCTCTGCCCCCTCCCACTGTGACCAGCAGCAGCAGCAGCACAGACTCTGTTAACCTGACCTTCAGCTTTAACTCCAAGTATGATGTAAGAGCTCCTCTGTATCAAACCACTTGTGTGTCTGCAGCTAAAAGGATGTCGTGTGTACAGTTACTGTTTCATCTTTGTGTTTGTTCTCAGGTGAAATATTACATTGTGATTGTGTCCTGGCAGTTTGACACTCATGTCAAGGAGAGTAAGAACTACACAGTCCAGGGAGATGCCTTCACAGGTGCTCTTCTGAGTTTTTTTTCTTTATTTACAGTTTTATATGTATTTGAGCAATGAGCCTGATGTGTGCTGTGTTTGCAGCTACAAACATGACAGCAGGGACTCTGTATGAGGTTGCAGTGTGGGCTCACACCACCATAGGAGACAGTCCAACATCTCTGTCCCATCACCAGACCAAAGGCAAGCAGCCAGAGAAACCTCTACTCAAAGCTAAGGCTCTGAACCAGACAGCTGTGGAGTGCACCATCATCAGTGAGCCTCCTGCACAGGTACAACACACAACAACAATAAAAATATACAACTTCTTCTATCCTTGAGTGTTGTTGGAAAGGTGGTATCTCACTGGGTTCATGAAGGAGTCTCCCTACTCTCTGCAGAATGTCTTGTAACTTCTGTGGAGTCCTAACCTTCCTTGTGATAGTCACACATGAGCTTCCAACATGTTTTAAAAATGCTGTGGCGTTTGTTTCCTTTAAAAGTCACAAATCATTGCAGATGTATCAACCTGTCCCAAGCACACATGAGCTGCATTTTGACCCCATGCACCACAGCTGTCCTCTAACAGAGGCTACAGCCCTGATAGTTTGTCTGTAAAATACAGAAGATTAATAATAAAGATCAAAAACTGGTCCAAACTGGCCTTTATTTATTTCTAAAGTTTACTTCATCAGCTCAGAATATAAATGTGAGGCAGCTCTGTGAGTCCTCTCAAAACAAGTCGAGGTGGGGATGATGTGGGTCGAGGTGGACAACAAAATAATGTGCATTGTCTAGAAGAAGGTTTTACAAATCATGCAAACTAAAATATGGTTCTCAAATATCTATAAATTAAAAATAAACTGTTAAAAACACAAACACAAGTTTTGAAAGTCACCTGGTACTGATACAATCAGTTTTACTGAGACTGCAGCTGATATTTCACATAAAAAAATCCTCAATATTGCAAGAAATGATACTTTTCCTCCAATGGCCAATATTAAACAGATCCACCTTTTTGCCCTTAAATATATTTTGTTTTGTACTTGGAGTCTGTAGGAGGCAGAAAATTTTAATTTAGTCTCTCCTGGTGCTGAAAAGTTATCTGTATAGTGTTTGAGTCATATTTTTATCTATTTCCTATTACATTTTGTTAACAGTTACAGTATGTCACAGTATTTTCTAAACAAGAGCATAGACCCCCAACAGACAGTTTAGTGGCCCTGTGGCTCTGCTGGTCTGTTTTCACTGTTCTCTGGTTCTGGGTCAGACTCTGGTTCTGGGTTCAGACTCTGGTTCTGGGTCAGACTCTGGTTCTGGGTNCTGGTTCTGGGTTCAGACTCTGGTTCTGGGTCAGACTCTGGTTCTGGGTCAGACTCTGGTTCTGGGTCAGACTCTGGTTCTGGGTCAGACTCTGGTTCTGGGTCAGACTCTGGCTCTGGTTCAGACTCTGGTTCTGGGTCAGACTCTGGTTCTGGGTCAGACTCTGGCTCCAACATGTAAGGCTGGATGGATAAATCTTCCAATGTTGACATCTTTTAATGAATTTGTAAGTAAAAGGTTTCTGTTCGTGTGATGTCAGACTGATACCTGAATGCTCATAAATGAAATATCTGTCCCTGTGGGGTGTGTCTCTTGCCCTGTGGCTGTACACCACACACTGTAGGACCAAACCTGACATATATTCATGGTTTTTTTATCCTCACCTTGGTGTCTCTCAGTCTTTGAAAATCCTACGACTGTTTTAAAATCTTGCTGTGTGACGTCGGGCTAAAGTGAGGAGATGGTGACAGTGTGCTTTGACAGTGTTTATTGTGTGTGTGTGTGTGTGTGTGTGTGTGTGTGTGTGTGTGTGTGTGTGTGTGTGTGTGTGTGTAGGTGTATGGAGTGTTCTATGCCACCTCCTTCCTGGATTTGTACCGACGTCCTCGTCAGGTCCGAAGCTCGTCTCTCAGCCTCACAGTGACTGTGGACAGTGATGAACAGTTTCTCTTCCTGGTGAGTGTTCCCTTTAAACTTGTTACAAATGTCTTCATTCCTATTTCAATCTTACATACTGTAGGTATTTGATATTTTATTAAAATGTATGTACTGGTAAGCTATAGACTGTATATAAAACAGTAAAAGTTCCAGAAAGCTGTGTGTGTTAGGGATGTAGCAACAGTAGAGAAAAGGGAAAACACATCTTTTTACAGGTAAGCATATTTTATTTTATTTACCTCCTTGTGAATGTGATCTGATCAAACCTGCAGCTGTTAATATAACTTATAAAGTAGACTATAAAGCCAATGTAATCACTGGTAATTATTAAATTGTAAGTAGAAAGTAGCTTCTGTGGCAAATACAGAGTTTAGCACAGGATATGGTGTACAGGCTGAAACTTTCTGCAGTTTACAACTAATTATTAAATAGCACAAACTGGTATGGCCTTTGGGTTTTGTACATATTCACAGTGTGAAATAATAATATATGTTAGACTTTTTTTAGTTTTTCAATAGGTACTTAGCTTCAGCTAGTAAAACCTACGGACACTACTCATAAAAAGTAGAGGATATTTAACTTTTGTGTGAACTTCCAACATGAATCCAAAATTCAGTATTTACAGGTGAACTTACTATAACCTCTAAACTTTTAAATACACATGCCCAACTGTTCAGTGTTTCAGTACTTATTGCACAACTTGCTGTACTCTAACAAAGAGCTAAATGGTAAAATTCACAACAGGGTTTTGATCCATAAATCAACCAATAAATGGCCTGGTTCAAATAAGACATTTTTAAACAGTCCTCCTCATGCTGTTCACAATCTGACACCATGAGAGCATCTAACAACTGGAAATTATCCATATGTAACTTGTTTTACATGATTGTATGAAATTAACAATATTATTAAGTAATTATATTAAATTATTGTAAAGAGAAAAAAAATAATTTCTGACAGATCCAGTTGAGCTGTTTTTTGATGCCATCCTAACGTCTCCACATTACAAAAGAAAGAAATGGGAAAGATAGCAGTGCATTCTCTAGTTGTTTGATTTAATAAATGACTAAAGTTATATACTCCAAGCACATCTCTCCCAATATGCTTTAATATAGGTATGACCCTGTAGGGGTCACCTCGAGTGAAGAAACAAGATTTACTGCCTCAAAGCAGGTCTCGGAAAGGCCTGACAGAAGGCAGGAACACTGAACTCTATTTTAGGCCATGACAGGTCATTTCAACCTGTGGTGGAGGACTTCAGATCTCTTAATCAGATATTAAACAGAAACAATCTGTTCTGTTCGTGATTCGTTTGTTGTTTAACTAAGAATGTTTATGCATCTGTTAATCATAATAATGACATGTCACAAAGAAGAAGAATCACTTCTATTCTTTTATCATGCCTAAAAGATTAATTAATGGTATAAAATCACAGAAAATCATCCCCATGTTTTCATTGTGTTTTTATATAAATCACTGTTTTTATTTTACTGGAAACATCAGTAATATAATTTTGAGTTTTTCTTAAGAAAATCTTTCATTTATCTGGACYAACAAAWGKTTCAGACTGATTATTTAAACAGAAATGTTAATTAATCATCATAAATGTTTTACAGTGATTTCTCTTAGTCTATCAGAAAGAAAGCTAAAGAAGATATTATCAAATGTCTGTTAAAACAGCCACAGAATTTGACCTTGCACTAGCGCCGCTGGCAAACTTTATCTTTCTTTCCTTTCTGTGACTCATTCTTAACGCCTGAGGGCGGAACCAAATTCGTCCGCTCCTATTACTAACACGGACGACTTTGAGAGACGAACACACTTCTTCCTGGATGCAAACGGGGAAGAAAGCTGATTTCTCTTCGGAGAACCAGCTCGGCCGTAGGTCTGGCCCATAAGCCAAATAGGGGAAATCTGACGACCCGGACAGAGGCAAGCCGCCGACTGTCCACACTGAGACTCAGGTCTCAAGTGTTTTTCAACTCCCAAGGGGAGAACTTTTATTTTGAAGGAAGAATCGGATACTCCAGCTTGAATCTTTCTGGCGAAGTTTGAAGCAGACTAAAGTTGCCTAAAATAACACTTTCTCGCCACGAAGCAGTGAGCGGGCCGAACAAACGTTCCCTGACTGGTCTGAGGTGAGGCAGTATTTTCCCGGAGTGTGGTAAAGAAGCCAACAACAGGTAAACCCTGTCGTGTTCCGGGTGACGAGTCATGTGGAGTTCTGAGCGCAGAGGGGACGTGCTGATCCGGTTGATACCCTTAACAAAATAAGATTTGAAACACTAACCTTATTTTCAAACCTTTTCTTATCCTTTCTTTGCCAAACTTAAGTTAAAAGTGCCAGCAAAATTGTTTGGTTAACATCAGAACTGACGTTTTACTGTTCTATATAAGTAATCTGAGTTTAATGTGAATTGAAATTCAGACGCGAGTTTTTACCTCATTTTAACTCTGACGCTTGTTATAGGAATAACCACAATCAAGTGTAACTGATGATCTGTTCAATTTGTGTAAATAAATGATTGCATAGTCTTTTATGAATCAACTTGAACTCGTCTGAAAGTTCCCTTATTGTGTCACTTTTCACTTTGCACAGTCAAGATATTAACAAGTAATGAGGAAAATACCTTGGTAAAACTTCTCTCATAACTAAGCTATGAGAAGTATGTAGAGAGGCTTATTTAACATAAGTCTATCTCCTACAACCCAGAGGACAAAAATGTTTCTTATTTATAAACGATAAAATTATATAAAATGCTAAACGTTGGACTATACAGTCTATTATAATAAGAAGAAAATGAAGAAGACAAAGAATGGTATATTAGGAACTGTACATTTGACTTTTTTCTTTTTGTTAAATTAGGATTTTTAAATATTATGTAGATCAAATGAAGAGAGAAAAGAGCAAGAGAAAAAAATGCTTCATAACATTTTGCTGTTGGATTGCAGAAGACAAATCCAGAACTCTGTTAGGGCCCTATGATTTCTGCGATGTGGAAAACGCAGACAGAATCGCAGAATTGACCAAACAAAATGGAATCCAGTGTAAAATGCAGAATCTCACGCAATTCACATATTTGGGCAAATTTCTGAGGTATTTTGGCCGCTGCTGCTCCCTGTACCTGCTACCTGCTACCTGGTAACAGGCACAGGGGCTGAGCACTGGGTGAGCCCCTCCCAACACAGGAAGGGGGGAAAAAAAGCCGCGACCTACACAGCGAACAACAAACTCTCTAAAAGTAACGTCCTCCAAAAATATGAAGCTAGCAAAAAGTTTAGGACAGAATAATGTCCCAGCTGTTATTTGTTTATCTGTAGAAGAACTTTTCTGCTAGTTTTTTTTGTTGGGCTGGACGCTGTGAAGACCACTTCCTCTCTGAGTCACATCAAAGAGGGGCAGGAGCTGAGAGACCCACTGCAAACTCCTGAACACTCAGTGTGGTGGATGTCTGTGTTGATAAGGCTTCAAATTAAATTTAATTTATCTGACAAAGCAGCAGCTCTCATTTACAGTCGTCTCATTCAGCTCGGTATATTTCTCCTCTCAGTAGAGTTGTTTACAGCACATGCTATTTCCGGTTAGCGTCTTAGCTTAGCCTCCTTCACAGTGACATACATCACGGCCAACTGATCCAATCATTTTAAGCTTCAGCAGAGGCCACGCCTCCAGCAAGAATCTCTTTTCTATTGTCATGATTCCAGACCCTCGTACGAAGCAAGGTGAAGGACAGGGGTCTGGTTTTAACCAGGCTACTTTTAAAAACCTTTCAAAAATAATTTAATGTTCTACTGAACCACAGCTAATTGTAATATTAGTGAAAGTGAAATTACATTTTTTTTATTTCTGTACCTATTTATTTTTCAGTCACTTTATAGTCACGCACGTTTTAGGTTAATAAATATGGTTACAATGAAATTGTGGAATTCAGGGAAAAAATGGAAAAAGTAGAATTTAGCAAAATAAAAATGGAAAAAATGGAATTTGGGAAAAAATAAAAAGGATTTTAAAGGGCCCTACTCTGTGTATAGGC